ACCGGAACCGCCGCTACACACAGAGCCAAGTAAAAAACCGAAAGGAGAATGGCCCAGTGAAGGACGCATTGAGTTTGTGGGTCTGAATATGCGTTATTCGCCTAAGGACTCTTATGTATTGAAAGGTCTAAACTTTGTCATAGCACCGCAAGAAAAGATCGGTATTGTCGGGCGAACTGGCGCGGGAAAGTCCTCCATTATACAGTCACTCTTTCGTTTGGCTTGCAATGAGGGCGCGATACTCGTGGACAGCGTTGATATTGAAAGTCTTGGCTTACACGATTTGAGAAGTAAAATATCGATAATACCACAAGATCCGGTATTATTTTCGGGCACATTGCGCTATAATTTGGACCCCATGGAGGAGCGCAGTGATGCGGAAGTGTGGAAAGCATTGGAAGATGTGGAGTTACGCGCGCATGTATCGACATTGATTGGCGGCATTGCGTGTCGCATGTATGACGGCGGTGCAAATTTCAGTGTGGGTCAACGGCAACTGGTTTGTTTGGCACGTGCCATTCTCAGGAATAACAAGATACTTATATTGGACGAGGCTACGGCTAATGTGGATCCAGAGTAAGTTAGAATTATACAATTTTATATTATATTAAGATTTGTTATAGAAATGAAATGCTTTTGTTACAGAACCGATAAACTGATACAGAAAACTATTCGCACCAAATTTGCTAAATGCACAGTGCTAACAATAGCCCACCGCCTACACACCGTAATGGAAAGTGATCGTGTCTTGGTAATGGATGCTGGTCAAATGGTGGAACTTGGTCATCCATATGAGCTGTTGCAACGACCTCACGGTTTTCTGCGACAATTAGCCGAACACACTGGAGTCGCGATGACGAATTTGTTATTGAATGCGGCCGAGAAGAGTTACCATCAAAAGGAAAAAGATGTATAAACGGTCACATACGTAACTTTTGCTATTAAGACACCATTAAAGAATTTAATGTGATAAATTAAACTTTTGTAACTAGCCATTGATTATTTACAATCTCGAAATTAAATTCTGTACTTACATGTAAATTAAATAATCTCATAGATGACCCACAAAACTTCTGCTTTGTTACTTAAAATATGTAAAAGTACATATATATTGTATATACGAAGTTACAATATATACGCTATCTAGTATATATAAATAACAAAGATTTTCGTAAAGAATTTTGTAAAAAAAAAAAATATTTTGTACTGCTTTATAAATACTACTATTTTTATATACAGGTTAGAAACCTTTTCCTACTGTCAGGTAAAGTGTAGCATTTTATACTGAGGGAGTAGTGGAGGAAAAGAGCACAAACTCACATATGTGTGAGTCTTATAAATAAAAAATAAAGAAAATATATATGTGTAAACTAATAATTGGTTGTTTAAATTTGGTGAATAAAAGTGTAGATAATATATTACTTAAATGAATGCTGAAGAAAATTATCAATAATAAATACTGCGCCTACTTTGCCTTGTTTAGAAAAAAAATACGAAAATATAATTTTAATATATTTTTTGAATTTTCAATATAAATTAAATATTTTTAAAAACGTTTTGGTGAACGTAAATAATTATACGCTCTCTGTTCAATATATGCAGAGATTCGATTTTGTTCATGCTACGCACAAAAATGTGTTGAAGAACTTATCTATTAATTACTTATTTTGTTGTAAGTTCTGCGGCTTCTGCCAATAATCCTCTTAAATAATTTGAAGGATTATTTTAAATTACAAAAACTATGATTTTTGGTAATATGCAAATGTAAATCAGCATGCGCATAATTCATTTAAGAACATTCTTTGTGTCTATTTATAGCCTTTTCTCCGTTTCGATCATTGCGTGGTGTATTTCAAAAGAGTCGAAGTTGTATTGTTCATTCTCTGGAGCTGCTATTCCATATACTATATATAAAGCTCTTCATTAAAGACTTCCTTGTTAGTTAGTAATACTTCGACAGTAAGGTAATTTATACCAAACAAGGTGTCTAGAATGAAACAAATTGAAATTATATTTAATATTTAAGCTATTTACTCTCCAAAATCTTAACAGAAAAATCCCTTACTAACCAATTTCACTTGCACTTACCTTGAAATAGAACAGCTCAAAATCTATGTCATTGACTTTAGAACGATCGGGCTAATATTTTACACAAGATAATTAATATCATATGATACTCATGCGCCTGCTGTGTAAAAAATACAAACAAACATATTCCCCAAAAATTAATAAATGCGAGTGTATTTTGGCAAACTTATTAAACTGGTTATAGCAGAACATCCAGTAACTCAGCTAATTTTTACATTTAAATATGTTTGTGTTTACTTAATACGAAAATATACAAAAAGAAGAAGGTAATTTAATCAACTTTAAACATATGACAAGTAACGGTGCCTAATTTAAAACGGAACTGAAATTTATAGGTCCAAAATGAGTTAAAAAGAGTTCTAATTTTTGTTTTTATTCTGAACAATTTGTGTACTCATTTTCTTTTTGGTAATTATTTTGAAGGTTATATAAATTTCAATATGCTTTGGAGAGATTTTTTGAGAAGTTTCTCTCCTGCTATAAATGCATCCACAAATTTAGAGACTCGACAATAATTCCAAATGGTCGATTGCTTTTGGTCTTTCAGTAATTTTACAAGGCATCTTCGAATGTGATTTGAACCCACTAACCAACATCTCATAATCACTTACTCAAAGCACTTGGCTTAAGCAAATAGTCACAGCCACAAACATAGTTAACGTTATTACAAATTATTTAATGACACATAATTTCTTTTTGAATGCAGCCGGCTAAAGTGTCCGCGCGATTAGTGATTGAACGAGTTTATTTATATACTTTTTATTGTGATCATGTTTAAACTTAATTTGTATACTTGTATTGTATAACTGACGTTGATGCTGTCCGAATGCAAGCGACAAAATTAATTTATCAAACAAAAATAAATATAACACACTTGTTTTTCATCACTCTATGCAAATTTTATGGTCTCCGATGTTGTTTCTTTTGCCGGTGAATATGACTATGCGCATATGTAGGTATGTAGATTAGATGCGTAAAATTTATATGTTTGTTTTTTATTTATCATTTATTTTGGTGTGAGCATTAAAGCGAGCATTGAACTTATTTGATGAAAAATTAGCTATGAACTCGCTCAAAGTAGAACTTTGCATATTTAAGAATGAAAGTAAGTGGTATCGCTGTTATGCTGACTAATAAGAAGCAGAAAGATTAGCATATTTTTTCGCACATTATAAAAATTAGATATACGTAAACAAATTTATAATCACATAAGATATAACAGTAGGCAAGTAAAAAAATTTAATTTCTATGCAAATTGGTAATTTTATGTCATTTTGCAACCATTGTTTTAAGAATCTAATTGTAATTTTATTCTGAATATTTGTATACTCTTACGGCATGTTGCTATGTATGTGTAATTATTTTAAATTTGTTCTCCTAACGGTTGTATGTATCACCTTAAACTAATCGAGTTAGATATAAGGTTATATATATAAATGATCAGGATGTCTGTCCGTCCATCTGTGCAAGTGACAACTTGAGTAAAAATTGAGATATCTTGATGTAAAGGTGTTTATTGGCAAAAAAGTAAGAAGCACTACCACACCCACAAGACGCCATTCATCTATAACCTATAAATTGTCATAACTAAGCCGCAAATTAAAATACAAAACTGTAATTTGGTACAACGAATCGTAATAACAAGGAGCACCTGTGGTTTGAAAATTTTTAAAAAATGGGCGTGGCCCTACCCCCTAATAGGTTTAATGTATATATCTGCCAAACCATTCAAGCTATATCACCCAAAATTAATTTCAACATCTCTTGCGCCAGCGTGAAAATAGGTGAAATCGTACTGCAACCACGCTTACTGCCCATACAACAACTTTAAATTCCATGTGATTTTTTCAATAATAAAATTAAGCCCCCAGATACTGGAAATGTGGACCCCAGAGTCTATGGCTGACTTTTTACGAAAAACATCGGTCAATGTGTGAGATATATTATTGAAACTAGAAGATTATCATTTCCTGATAATATTATCTCTGTTTGTCAAATATGGGTTGAATCAGATCAATATTTTCCTTAGCAGCCATATACCTAAAAGACAGATTTTCGAACTTCCGGCTGACTTTGTAACCCATATATCGGCCAATATCTGAGTTATCTTAATTAAATTAAGTCAGCGTGGTTTGCTCTCAACGGTGCATCTCTGAGCCTAAAGTGAACAAAATCGGTTGAAAACTTGCCCTAGCCTTTATACAATATCAGAATTTTCCCATAATCCGTTTGACTTTACTCCTTATATATGTATTTCTGATGTTATGTGAGGTACCTTAATGAAACTCAGAGAGCAGCTTTTTCTGATAATAGTATGTAAGTAAACTAAAAATAGATAAAATCGGTGGATTGACGGTTATATACTGTGGAACATTTTGCCAATATAGTGACCTATGACCGCCTTAGTAAGATAATAAAATAAAAAGTAAAGGCGCACTAAAAGTAAAAGGATGATCTTACAGACTCATAAATCTAGCATATATAAAAGAAGTTGTTACAATTTAAAACAAAAACCTATTATTATAATCTATATTTTCTAATTCCAATTTGCTGCAAGTAATTTATTTAAGTGCAAAAAGTATAGCTCCAATCATTAAGCCTATTTCAACTAACTCAGCTACGATAATTTCAAAATGTGTGCAATTTACTCAAGCAATTTTATATTGGCACATCTGTGTAAGTGTGTAAATATATATTATATAAATATAGCATATTGACCTGCCTCAAACTGTGCCACAAGTTCCACACGTCGAGTGCGTTACAATCACCTCACCGAAGAAAAAAAATGAGTCCATCAGTCTGTCAGTGGAAGAATGATGCGCAACGCTCGGAAGCATCAGAGCGTTTGATGTGAAATAAAAATGACTAAATGTGAATAAATAAGTTTCATTCATCGTTTACTTACCAACAACGGACACGATCAGCGCGGCCAGATGGAGGCAGCAGTGTCGCTGCCAAAGCCAAGCTGTTAACTGTGTTAGTTGTGCTACCTTTGAGCACTTAACCAGAAATCAAGACAGCCTCAGTGTAAGCGTTGGCGATTATTATTACTCATATTATAAACCGCTGACCATTTCTACTGTTCAGTTTGATGCCGAACGTTAAGCTGTAAAAATCGTAGATTTTGAAAACTGAGCGCGAGCTTTAAGGCAATTAGAATAGAATACTTAGAAGGTCGCTCGTAAGCGCTTATGTAACTGGATGCATTGAAAAGTGAAAGTGTTTGGCGGTGAATCTAATTTTTTTTTCAATACATTTAAAAACAGTCAAGGAGATGAAATATCTATTCCCGTTATTTTTATGCACATTTATAGTGTTTTGTTGCTTTTGTAATAATGTTACTAGTAATAGTGAAGAATATTTCTCGTCTGTGGCGGGTTTGGAAAAACTGCTAATGGTGGAGTACGTGGTGTTGGATGAGTTACAGAATTATATTGATTCAATGCAGGAACACATTGATTCGTTGCAAAGGTAATAATTAGGAAAGTGCTAAAAAGAAATAAACTCTTTTTTTTATATAAATTGTGTATAGGTCGTTGTGACCAACGGCAAAAAAAAATCAAAAATTGACCAAATGTCGACATTTTAAAAAAAGTTGAATTGAATTCAAAATATTGGTCGGTTTTAACCTGCAAAAAAGATATCTTAGTGATCGGATAATTTGTCTCCAAGTAATCATTCAAGCAAATTTTAAAAATGTAGTTTTGATAAAAGAGCGTTTAAAGATAAACTGATTGAACCGAGTGGCTACAGTTTACAAAGGTGTAACTCAAAAGCTACTTGAGATATCAATTAAAAACTTTAGTAGGGTATTTTTAAAAGTACAACAAGCTATTGAAACATAAAAAAAACATTTTTATTTTTAATTTCAGACTAGGTCTGCCCCTTAAAGAAAATAATCGAAGACTTAATTTTTATATAAAAAGTATGGAATATTTAATAACCTATATTTTATTAAATTTGATTATTTGTAGTGAATAGAAAGTTCAGGAAAATTCTTTACACTTATAAGGATAGTCACGAAAGGTTTCAGGTAGCACCATGGAGTGATAACTCATTGTGACTTGAAAATTTAAATTTCTTCCATAAAATTTTTTTTTTTTAATTGGAACTACATTTTACGTCTCCAAGAATCACTTCAGCAAAAGTAATAATATCTTTGGTGAAAATTTTTCTGAAATAAGTTTTTTTTATCTAATTTAAAAGCTGTTCAACTAAAAGAGCTTTAACTATCAGGAAATGTAATATGTAAATATGTTAGTGATGAATTCTTTGAAGTTCATTTATCAATTGCTCGGTTCCGGCAAGCCTCGATGCCAAGCGTGCCGTATTTCCGATGAATACACATATATAAGTTTTAACGGGAGATGGGGAAATGTACGTGGATTCTTTAGTCTAGATAATTAAGCTGGAACTAAAAAAGTGGATTGTTTGGTTTTAGAGAGAACTTGGTACTTTAATCAATTCTAATTTAAATTTAAATGTTGTTTATTGATAGTCAATGAAAGAGCGGTTATTTCGTTGACAATTAAATAGTTCTAAAACTTTTGAAATTGCCACAACAATAAAGACTTGTCCAGTAACTGTTGTACTTATAAATGATCCGAATTTTGAAACTTTGTTTCTGAGAAACCAAGTCAAATTGGGAAAAATTTTTCGATGATAGGTTCTGAAATATTTTGAAAAAATTCCGTGTTTTGCGAATATTATTGGGGATAATTTTGTATTTATGTCTTATTAAAATTAGAGCCTTAACTTTTTGCTAAATATATATTTTGTAGTTTTCTTTGTATCCTGAGATTCAATAAGTTTTAAGTTATCCATAGTTTTTTAAGAAATGATTTTTATTTTGAAAAGAGAATGATCGGTTATATACTTTCATATATTTTCCCAACTGGTTTTCAAATGCACGATCCTCATATGAGCAGTCTTACTGTATACCCACTAGGTCCTTATGTTCCTCTGTACTTATTTATATAAAATTCTACCACAACTCATAAAACTAGCTCTAAACTAGACACGAAACGAATGCGTGGGAGTAGAACTTCTCAAAAGTATTTTCTCAAGCTTAAAAAATTTAATTCTCTTAAAGACGTTGCAAAAAATTGATTTCTATTAATATTAATACTGTCAACACAAGTTATAATGAATGAGTAGGATGGAATAATTGGATTTATCAACCGTGCAAGAATAAAATAAAATGAGTTTTATGTCTAAAAGGTGTTAAATGTTTACCGAATGTTTAGCACAATAAATCATTAGAGAATATATTGAATGAAGATATTGGCATGAAGAATTGCATTATAAATGTTAAGACTTGTTCGTTGATTTGTTGACAACAAAACAATCATTAACTGATGTCAAATAATCCATCACATACCACATATTCTGTTATTTGTTGTAGATAATATACTAGCGCTGGTGTTTTCCAAGCAACTCGCAAGAAATTCAAAGTAAAAGTGAGAATGAGATGAAATTGGAATTTGTACTAGTGAAATTCATTTATTTTTGATTTTAACTAGTGAAATTCAATTTTTTCAAAAAAGCTAAAAATCATATTTTCCCAAAATATAGTTTAATTGCCATAATTCATTCAAGTAAAATTACTAGTTATACATGCATCAACTATTATTACACAAGTAAATTCACTAACGGTATAACCCCGAAACTTCATTTAATGAAAATGTATTTTTTTGTTGAAGAAATCAAAATCAAAAAGCTCATTCAATTCATGTACATACACATACATAAAATAAACAAATTCGCTTAATTACCGTAAAAAGATAGAAATCTTCAAGTTACTTAAGCTCCTAATCTTCTTTTTCTTCACGCTTATTTCTGTGATTACAACCTCAAGGTCACAACTATAAACCAACGAGAAGCGTCCGACACCTAACAAAAACGCATAAAATATTTCTGTTTTATACGGATGTACACGTGGATGTACAATATATGTAAGTAAAATAGCGTTTCGTTGTGTGCAATAAAAACGGCAATGAACATGAAAATTGATTACACAAGATGCAAAATGACATCAAAAATAACTTTTTATTTGATTCCGAACAAGGTGTCAGTACCAGTAAGTATGTACATACATACATCGGATAAGTTGAGTATTTTTTTAATAGAGAACACTACCGACATAAAAATCGAAAGGTTCGAAAGGGTATTAGCTTGAATATATAATTTTATTCATAAAATTTCATGAACTAAAATTAGATTCCGTTCCGGCTAAGTTGAACCGAGCGGTTGCTACATGGCATATGGTACTTATGTAACATATGTATTGTATGTTACCGTGTGGTGATCATAAGTACAATATCAATGTGCTTCCTAATGATTTTCATATATTAACCGAAACCATAAGGTGGATTGATATCAGTATGTGAAATAGATATTTTGAAATAAGATCGAAAAAGTTTATACAGTACTTCGAATATAAAACTATTCAACAATCAACAAATATGTATGACTCGATCACCGCGTCACCTAGCGTACCTACCTTTGCAAACATATTGTACTTCTAATAGGAACATATAACATCTTAAATATGAATAAAAAAATTATATTCTTGAACCATTTCAATGATCCTCTTTCACAGTATTAGCACTATCGGATCATGATATGTAATATTGTTATAGAAATGCTGCCACCATGCTCCGCATAGATTGCGATGACCTGCGAATTGACGAATTCAGTTTTGAGATAATTATAATGTGTGAAATATTTATGTATTAACATGAAAAAAATGAATATTAGTGACGTTGTTGGCCGATATTTTAAAGTTATGACGGTGAGACGTATAGAAATAGCATTGCTTAGAATTATATCGTTAAAGTAACCGTAGCGACACAGGTACATATACGTGTATAAGACTTTTTATTACTTAATGAATGGCAGAAACATTTATTAGATATACTATAAATCAATTATGTACTTCTTATTCTGCTTGAATTAGTGGCAATAGTATCTGAGTATCCTTAGTAGAATGCATCTTCACTCTTATTTACTCTCTTTCAAAACATAAAAAATCAACTAAAAACTTACAAGTTTTAGTTAATATTATACAGAGTTACGCTTGAGGGATTATTACAATCATCAGAATTTGTTGCCA